CCCCCCCCCTTTTTTAAAAAAACCCCATATATTACCCATTATCCCTGAAAAAAGTTTCCTTTTCTCCATCTTGTCTTATACCTTTGTAACTTTTTCCCCCTTTTCCCTTTCCTTCTTAGCCCGCCTAAACTTTTTACCCCCTCCTCTCAAAACCTCTGCCTTCTTAATTTCCCCTTTCTGCATTCCTCTTTCCTTTTGCTTTCTAGCATTCTGTTGTTTTTGCATCTTCTTTTTCTCTTGCATAAATATTTTTTTATTTCTTAAGTCCTTCCTTTTCGCTCCTCTCTTTCTCCTTTCTTTCTTAGTCACACCGTTTAGTTCATTAAAAATGGCTTCTTCTTCCTCAGTTTCTTCCAGCTGTTGTTTAATTTGCTGACACATAGCAAGCGCCATATCTAGGAAACAAAGGGCTTCTCCCATAACATCTTTGCCTTCTTTCTTTGTTTTTAGATATTGTTTTTTTAGTTCATCAAGAGATAAAGCCATTTTAAAGTTTCTTCTTCTCTTTCTGTATCCTCTTCTTAAACCAATCAGTTATTTCAAGGCTTAAAACAGTTCCCAAAAGTCCCAAAGTCCCACAGTCATCAAACAGTCCAGGCAGAGTAGAAGCTTCTTCTTTTTACAGTTTCTCTTCTAGGGGTGAAGTCAAATTAGGGAAAGAAAATTCTCTTTATCTTCAAGGCATCTCCTCCAGCAAAGTCTTAGAGTAAAAATTTGTTTTCCCAAGCCTCTCCCGTACCACTTATAACAAAGGAGTTTAGGTTTTACCTTCTACCAAAAGGCTGGTTTCCCTTGTCCATTTGTTAATTCCATAGGGGAGGGAGAGTAACTTCCCCTTTTCATCACTTTTCTTCGCAGCTGAAAACATCAATCGGGAACAATAGCTTCCAAGTCATTACTTTCCCAGGTGTTAAATATATCCTTAAGGTCCCAGTTCGACCAAGAAAAAACTTTCTTTAAAAAAAAAGAAAACTCTTTCTCCCTCCTGCGCACTCTTTATCCAATTGCCGGCTTCTTTATGGTGGCCATAAAAAGACCACCGCTGGAACCGTCTTGAGAAAAGGGGGTTATTGCCAGCTGGGGGGGTTTTGCGATGCCCCTCACCCCCGTCCGGATCCCCCCTATCTTCAGCTGCCCCAACAGGGCAGCCTTAGCCTCCAAATCCGTCAGGATCGGAGGCACCAAGGCGGCTAGCACAGCAGGAATCGCAGAGAAGGCGAATCCCTGCTGTCAGCAAAGCCGACAACTGGAAGTGTCCCTGTTGTATCCCAGAGATTTTGAAGGGATGTATACTCTCTCTTATTTATTTCAAGAAATATTTTCAATTCTTTTCTCACCATTTCAATATATTCGTTATCTTTTAGTATACTATTATTAAATGTCCATCTTCCAACCATTCTCTTTCCTTTCCACTTAATTTGAATAGGGTTATGATCAGCCCATACACTTGGCAAAATCTCTATATTTTCATTGTTTTCCATTAAGCCTGGGTCCATCCAATTCTGATCTATTCTAGACCAAGAATGATGGGGATTGGAAAAGAAAATATATTGCTTTTTGGTTGGATATAGTTCTTTCCACAGATCCTTCAAGTTTAATTCCCTCACCAAGTTATTAAAAGAAGATGGGAATAGTCTCCTTTTATTTATTTATTTATTTATTTATTGGAGCTTTTATAGTCTTTGTCCTTGTCTGAAACAGCATTTAAGTCTCCTACAATACTTACACTTGTATATTCATTTTCTACTATCTTGTGATGGAGTTTATTATAGAATTCTTTTTGATTTACATTCGGGGCATATACTGTACCTAACAAAATCTTTTTCTGGTTTAATATTATTTCTATAAATAACATTCTCCCTTCATCATCCTTATGTACCGTGTTTCTCATAAAATAAGGCTGGGTCTTATATTTTTTTGAGCCCCGAAAAAATGGCTAGGCCGTCTTTTTGGGGGTGACTTAATTCCCCCCCTTGCATCCTCATCTAGAGCGCCCTGTGGGCAGCCTTGCCACCAGCCGCTCCTAACGGGTGATCATAGCGAAGCGCAGAGAGCTCCCTACTCTCACCAAACACCTTTGCTGCAGACCCAAGACCTTTGGCACCCACTGCTGTTGCTTTCCCTTCTGCCCATTCCGCCACCACGTTTGGAGCTGCCGCTTCCGTGTCTGGAGTGCCGCTGCCATTTGGAGTGCTGCCGTCACGTTTGGAGCTGCCACTTCCATGTTTGGAGTGGTGGCGGCGCTCTAAATGGTGGTGATGCTCCAAACAGCGGCAGTGCTCCAAACGCGGAAGCGGCAGCTCCAAATGTGGCGGCAGCTCCAAATGTGGACATGGCAACTCCAAACAGCGGCAGTGCTCCAAGAAGCGGTGGTGTTCCAAACGTGGAAGTGGCAGCTCCAAACGCAGCGGCAGCTCCAAATGCAGAAGCGGCAGCTCCAAACGGCAGCGGTGCTCCAAACAGCAGTGGTGCTCCAAACGTGGAAGTGGCAGCTCCAAATGCGGCGGCGGCATGGGCAGAAGGGAAATCAACAGTGGCAGGCACTGAAGGTCTTGGGTCTGCCGCAAAGATGCTTGGCAGGAGTAGGGAGCTCTCCATGCTCTGCCATGTTCGCCCATTAGGAGCAGCTGGTGGAGAGGAATTGCTGCCCGTGGGGAGCTCCTAACGGCAAGTCCCCCTGCCCTTCCCCCCATTTTGCATGTTTTAAAATAGGCCTAAATTTGGGGGGAGGGGCTTAATTTCATTTTATGCCTAGAAAACATGCTGGGTCTTCCTATTGGGGGAGGTCGTATTGTTGGAGAAACACGGTACTTGTTTGTGTTGCAGCCAATCTTTTATAGATACTACGATATCCCTTTTTCTTTGATTTGAAAGAGCCCAATACATTTTTCCCAAATTGGTACATTTTTCCCAAATTTCCTGTTTATCTATGATGTGTACTTCTTGTATACAAGTTATGTCTGCATTTTGTTTTTTAAGTTTTTCACATGACTGTTTTCTTTTTAATGTTGAGTTTAAACCATTGATATTGACTGAAAATAAGGTGATTTCTCTGCTCATATTACTGTCTGTGTAGACCGTTTTTTGTTTCTTTCCTTGTTCTGGGTTCTTTTGTACTTGGTCTGTTGTCCTCATCTTCTCTAAGTTTCTGAGATTCTGACTGTGGTGCAAGTTCTTTCTCTTCGGAGAGTTGTTCTTCCAGACTTCTTGTATTTAAATATTCTCCACTTTCACGTTCTTCCTCAGGTCCCAGATATTGTTCGTGAAATTGATGCGCTTTCTCTATTGTATCAATTTTATATTTTTTATCCTGCCATGTTACTGGGAACCTTTCTGGGGTGAGCCATCTGAAATCTTTTCTTCTTTCCCTTTTAGGTCTAAGAAGAGGAACAAAAAAACCCGCAAATATGATATTATCACGACTCCAGCAGAAAGGGTGGAAATGGCTCCCTTAAATGAAGAGGATGATGAAGATGAAGATGCCACAGTGTTTGATATAAAATATAGGTAGGGAGAAAGAAGGATGGACACGCAAGCCTGAAGATTATTGGGGGTGCTTCATTTTGGGGCTATTATATGATCCCAAGGAAAGACACGGCTGCTTTAAAGAGATGCCCTTTGAATCTGATTCACTGTAAGGCTCCATGATGGGCATCAGGGTAGGATCAGTTATGTATACCAACCCAGATAAGTGGTTGTCTGATCTCCTCTTAAGAATATCCAGTGATGGAGCATCCACAACTTTTGAAGGCAAGCCGTTCCACTGATGAATTGTTCTCATTGCCACGAAATTTCTCCTTCTTTTTAGGTTGCTTCTTCCTGCATAAGTTTTCATCCATTGCTTCTTGTCTTGCCTCCAGGCGCTTTGGAGAATAGCTTGACTCCCTCTTCTGTGTGGCAGCCCCTCAAATATAGGAAGATTGCTATAATTGTCATCCAGTCCTTCTTTTCATTAGACTGGACATGCCAATTCTAGCAACCATTCTTCATCTGTTTTAGCTTCTAGGCCCCTAATCATTTTTGTTGCTCTTCTCACAAATCTTTCTAGAGTCTCAACATCTTTTTATATTGTGGTGACCAAAACTGAGTGCAATATTCCAAGTGTGGTTTTACCAGGGCATTATAAGGTAGTATTAACATTTCACATAATCTTGATTTATCTTTTCTGGGAGCTGCAGCACATTGCTGGCTCATATTTAAATAATTGTCCGCCAGGATTCCCAGATCCCTTTATATATCCTTTCTATTATAGTCGTAAGAGAAGTTTTACTGAATATTTTATACATTGCTTCTCATACTCTCAAGGTTCTTGCAGCAGGCCTGGTCCGTTTTGAAGTTGACACATTTGACACATACCCCTTTCAGTGAAAAATCTGCATTTCTGGCCAGCTTTGAATTGCTGTGTCAAGATTCCGGCAGTTACTCCAATTAAATCATGAGTCACACTCCCAAAACTTCAAATGATTTACTGGAAATCAACATGTCAGCATAGCGGCACGTAGCGAACTCTGAGACACGTCATTCACTGCCACCTTGATTCTGCTTTTCCCCCCACCCCTCTGGGTGTAACATCTAACGAAACACATCCATAGCCAAGAGTCCTCAATCATGCTCTCCAATTAGATTTTTGTGAGGCAGAAGCTTCAGTCATCTAATCAGTTTCTGAAGAAAATATGAATAGGATGTACTTTGGATTCCACACTGCTGCCTGCTCTTTGAAACCCGCCCCTCCTTCTTTCTGTTGACAACTAGAAAACGTGTATAGAAAACGTTTTATGAGTTGACATGCTGATTGTTTATGAATGTTAGTATTTTCAAGGCATGCATTTAAGCGTATATATTCTTTCCCTTGAGGACTGCCAGAGGAGAAAGACAGGGAATCAAGTCATGGGGGGGGAAAAGCCCTTCTGCTCATGAAGGCAACACGAGTATATTTACACATCTGCCTCATGCTGTTTCTTCTTTGAGATATGCCACTCGTCACAGGGTCTGACAGTGGGTGACCTTCCTAAGCATCCAAACCAGGCATTGCTTGGCTGTCCATTCACCAGGTGGCCATTTCCATGATGGAGAGGTGAAGGGTAATATTGAAAGAATATCAGAGTCTGAGCAAGAAGTCTGGCTGTCCACCTGGCCCAGGAAGGTAGGCAAGGTTGACCTTGGTTAGTCAATGACTTGGAATGTTTTACCTTCAGAGTTTGTGGGTGCTCCATCACGGGAGGTTTTTAAGAAGGAGAGATTGGACAATCAGTTGTCTGAAAAGGGGTAGGGTTTCCTGCTTGACCAGCGGGCTGGACTCTAAGACCTCCAAGGTCCCTTCTAACTCTGTTATTCTGTTAGTCCTCGGACTACAAGTAGTCCTTCTAACTTACAATCATCTGCTTAGTCACTGAAGTTACAACAGTATTGTAAAAAAAAAAAAAGTGACTCATGACTGGTCTTCACCCTTATGACCGTTGCAGCATCCCCACGGTCACAGGATCAAAAACCAGGCATTGGTCACCTTCCCAGTTGACATTGGGTGAGCAGAGTCAATAGGGGAAGCTGGATTTGCTTACAATCACGTGACGCATTGATTCACTTAGCAACCATGGCACAAAAGGTCTTAAAATGGTATGTGACTCACTTAAGAGCCTTGGTGGCGCAGTGGTTAGAGTGCAGTACTGCAGGCTACTTCTGCTGACTGCCAGCTGCCTGAAGTCCGGCTGTTCGAATTTCACCAGGCTCAAGGTGGACTCAACCTTCCATCCAGGGGTGGGATTCAAATTTTTTTAACAACTGTTTCTGTTGGCATGGCTAGGTGGGCATGGCCATGTGATTGGGTGGCTGCTGCTGCTTTTTTTTGCAGTCAGAGATGTCGGGCATGTGTGCGATGTCACACATGTGTGATAAGGACTGACTGGGCAGGGAGAGGAGGGGTGGGCGGAGAGGGATGGAACATGCCAAGGGCATGATTTGCTGGTTCTCCAAACTGCACAGAATCATAACAACCCGTTCTATAGTACTGGTCCAAACCAGTAGAATCCCACCCTGCTTCTATCCTTTTGAGGTGGGTAAAATGAGGATCCAGATTGTTGGGGGGGCGATATGCTGACACTTCGAGAAGGCTGTAAAAGCCCTGTGAAGTGGTATGTAAGTCTAAGTGCTATTGCTATTAACAACTGCTTTGCTTAGCAATGAAAATTCCAATCCCAACTGTGGTCGTAAGTTGAGATACCTGTACTAGCCCTCAGCTGTAGGGTAGACTGTAAGCCAAAAAAGTCACCTCAGAAGAAAAAAGGTGACAAACTTCTTCCAAACAATTCCTATATTGGGAGATGGATGGTGGGACATTCTCAAGTTAGGGAGGACTTGAGTCTAACTTTCCCATAGCCAAATTGGATGCTCCAAAACTGGGACTTCTTTTGCTCCTGGTTGAGATGCCTTTTCATCTTTGCTCATCTATGAGCTTCAGGACTTTATCCCTGATTTTCTTTTAAACCCAGTTAACACCACTCCTGCCATCCTGGAGAGCTATGGTTAAAAACAAGCTTGGATTTGAAGCACTGGGGGATAAAGTGTTTATGGCTCTAGCAACTTCTTCCTGGCTTCAACAATCATGGTTTAATCGATCAGAGAGACAGCCTGGGACAAATCCATCTATCTGAACAGGAAAACAAATATTTGCTTGGAGCCAAGCAAGCAAAACGAAGTCTGGTGCTATTTCTCTTTGGGTGTGAAGAGTTTCACCATGTGTCCGGTAGACTTTCTCTCTATTCAGTTGACACAAAACCAGTTTGGATTATCCCTGGAGTGGATTTGCCTGGGAGAACCATCTAATCCCCAAAATGAGCTCTCTAACTCAGTTCTAATTCTTAATTGATGGGTGGCTTGCTAGCTTGAAAATCTTTCTCAGTTCGATGCTGGGTGTCTTCTAATGATGCTAATTTGGCCATATATCTTTTCTCTTGTTTTCTCAGGTGAGGTCGTTGACCAAACTTCTTGGGAACTTTGTCTCGTGTAGAAAATGAGGCAAGAACTTTGGAACAGAGGAAAGATGGCAGATAATCTTCTTTGGATCCATAACATTTCGATCTTTTAAACGGAAAAGAGTGGATGTCGGATTTGACCTTTGGCCCATCCCTAATAAATACAGCTGTTACGTTCCTGGATGAATGACGTGATGAATTGAAGAACCTCTTCTTCCTGCACTTCTTTCTCATTCTAAAGACAATCCTTCTGATTCACCGTAGCTTCAGATGCCACCAGCAAATCAGAGAACTGAGGTCAGCCACCAGCGTTCAACAATTCAGAAGCTGCCAAGGCATTTTTTGCTCAAAATATGAAAGGAGACAGATGGATTCTGATTGCATTCTGGGATTGGTTCTGAGTTGGCTAAGATGTTTGCTCGTCTTGTGTGCAAATTGAAACTTGTACTGGGTTGTGCTGAAATTGTTCAGCACAGTTGTGTGCCTATTTGTGTTGGGGGGGGGTAGAATTTGGATGGTTAACCCTTTCAGTAGACAGCTCTCAGGCCTCAGTATTAACGATGACCAGTGCGCTGCTGTATTAATTTACAATAAGTTTTTACAGGGAGTTTCTCGCAAACTTTATATTTCTCCCCCCCAGAAGGTGAATTCTGATAGCAGGAAAAAACAAAATACAGCACTCAATTTAGGAAGAAAGGAATTTTTTAAAAAATCCCCTGTACCTCCTACCCTCGTGGGGAGAATTTATTTTTTTACATATGCGTTATTTTGCTTTCTTTAGCCTCTCATCATTTATTCATTTCAAGGCAATTAGCAATCAGATTACTGATTCAGAAGAAGAGGTTTTGCCTTCGTGCCAGAGTAGTCCCATCTGTTCTCCCCAGCAGAAACTTCCCCAACCTGTTTTCTCTCAAGAAATGTTGGGATTTTTGGTTTTTTACTGACGGGCAATTAAGAAAGCTGAACCTCTGCAAATCGAGTGTCTCCAGCTCCAATCATGTCATCTTGGTTTGAACCTTTCATAGCGGTGAACATTTTTTCCTTTTAATTATACCTAACAAATAAATATAAGGCAAAGTAGATGGTGGTTTTTTTCCTTCTTTCTCCAGGACCGTCAAATGCTCCTTTAGCACTGCTGATGAAATGGCCCATTTAACCTTACAACATATGATCATAGAGCTGGAAGAGACCTTTGAGGTCCCCTGCTCAAGGCAGGAGATCTTACACAGAGATGGTCAAATGGTTGTCCAGTCTATGTTTGAAAACCTCCAGTGATGGAGCATCCACAACTTCAGGAAGCAAACTAATCCGTTGATTAATTGTTCTCGCCATCAGAAAATTTCTCCTTACTTCTAGGTTGGATCTGTCTTTAACAAGCTTCCACCCATTACTTCTTGTCCTGCCCTCTGGTGCCTTAGAAAATACAGTAAGTCCATCCCTTCTTCTCTGTGGCAGCCTTTAAAATGGCAGGGGCCAATCTGGATCAGTCACCAGGACCAGAGGTTTCGTCTTCTGAGCTTTTGGTCTCATCCTGGAGCCTGTCTTCAGGAAACTTCTTTCTGGATCCTGAAACATTATCCTGGGACGTGTATATTTCTCTTCATTTGTGAGCCCTTAAAGTATTGAGAGACAGTTATCATGTCCCCTCTAGTCCTTCTCTTTGATAGGTTAGACGACACCTAGTTCCTTCATAGTTCCATCATACGATTTAGCTTCCTTTATCATCTTTGCTGGTCTTCTCTGCACACTTTCCAGGGTCTCTGCCTTAACAGGTGGCTATTCTTAAAGGGGATGCAATGGCTCAGAGGTTAAAGACACTGAACTTGTCAGCTGGAAAGATGACAGCCCAGGTATGAGACCCGAGCACCGCACAATGGGGTGAGCTCCCTTTCTCGCCCCAGCTCCTGCCCACCTAGCAGTTCAAAAGCGTGCGAATGTGAGTAGATAAATAGGTACCATTTCAGTGGGAAGGGAGCCATTGGCGGGATTCTACCAGTTTCCCTACCGTTTGGTGATTGCGCACTTCATGTGTGCATGTGCATGGGCCAAACTGGTAGCATTTCACCACTGAAGGTAGCAGCATTCTTGGCATATAGTCATGATGGCCACATGACCCCAAATACAGTCATGATGACCACACAATCTTTGGACAACACTGGCTCCTTCAGCCAAGAAACGGAGATTAGCTCCACACACACCCCACCCCTAGAGTGGGACACAACTGGATAGGAGAAACCCTTGTCTTTACCTTACTCCTAAAGTCTGTAACAATGAATATAGAACATAGAATAATAGAGTTGGAGGAGTTGAGTTGCTTCTTCTGTGGAAACAAGACTTTGGGTCGCACCAATTCCTCATCCCAGCTCCCTTCTTCCATGCCGTGTCTAAAAGCCATATTTACAGAGAGTTACCCCATTGGTAATTTTACAATAACAAAAAATACCTTGATTCTCTTGATTCAGGAATCCAAACTGGGACCAATGTTCTCAGAAAGAGGGAAATGTTTAATCTCTTAGACGGCCTAGTTAAGATCCGTGTGTTCTTGTCATGCCAATTTTGAAATAGTCTGAGCTGGCAGCCACAAGTCCCAGGGATACTGAGCAAAATACATTTTTTTGCCCGGGCTCTTCTTTTCTCTTGGGATGTTCTGAGGCTTTTCTTTTGTTTGTGTTGAAGTCAGTGGAGGGAAGAAGAGGACGCAGGCAAAATGATAATTGCAGAAGTTTGGTAGAGGTGATAGCAAGGTAGCCTTGCAGTGGGTCTTGCATCACCCGTGAAGTTTCTGAAATCCTCCCAGCCATTTCCTTTTTATTGGTTTGCAATAGCTCTTATGGATCAACTTTTGAATTGCTTGTGGTTTTGTACGCTTACTTTCTAAAAAAGCAATTGTGTGAGATCCGCCCCCAGTAGTAACTCAAATATCTCTCTGTAACTGAGAACGTGGTTCATTCTGGTTGATCCCCATTGAATCTATGTCTTTCTTCCAATGTTTTTATTTCCTCTGTGTGTGGGGGAAAACCCTGCAGTTTCGAGGTTAGCTCTTTATTACTCAATTTGGTGGCTCGCATCCATTTCCCCATCTGCTTTGACCTTTGCAAGCTGATCTTTATTGCCCAAGTGGCTGGATTTCATACCTACCCATAAAAACATTGCTGAATTTCAGTAACAGAATTTAGCTGTATTTAGCAGTTGCTTTCCAAGAGACTTTTCCTTAGGCTGATGTCCTTTTAGCCAATGGCTCCACTCCCTAGGAATTATAGGATGTGAAAAGCGACACAACTAAAGATCATTTGGTCGGAGAAGGAAAGTCAAAACATGGAAAGGAACGTTGTTCATTTGTTTTGCAATTCCTGGAGCTAGTTCACTTCTTCAAGTATGGTTTTTGAATTGTGAAAATACAGTAGCAGAACCACAGCTCCCAGCTTCTATTTTTCTTGGATTGTGCACCCAGGGCTTCTTGGAAATGTAGTATACTGGTTTCTAGATAGATCCCTCCTTAATGCAAAGCATCTTTCAGACAATTTATGAATTGTCATTTTATCATGTCATTCCCATTTATGAAGGTTGAAAGTTCAAGCCTAGATAGCGGCAGACGTTTCTCTTCTAGGATGTAAAGAAGACTGCAGACTCCTCATAGGTGTCAGGAAGGGAATCCAGTCAGTAAATGCTCAGTTCCATCCAGTTACCTTTTATCTACCCCAAATTAAGGGATTACGGGGTCGTAAAAAGGAAAAAGAAAGAGTAAATTAACCTTGTATGTGAGCCATGTCTTTGATACAAATATCTTTCAGTACATGAGCATTTCCACCATTCTTGAGACAGTGAAAAAAAAAATTTTTTAAAAAAGGGCAGGGGAATAGCCCCTCCTGGGTTTTAATTTTAAATGCTTTTTAAAAAAAAAATTCAGAGAAGCAAAGATTGGGCCCAGGCTGCACTAAATCATACCTTGTTTTAATAATCATTTGTTAAACAGCCTGGATTCTAACAACAGTTTACCAGACTTCCCTAACCTGGGCATCTCCCAGAATTCTTAGCTAAGAAGTTACTGCTGAGAATTCTGGGAAGTGAAGTCCATACTTGGAATTGGATGACTCTCTCCTAAGGCATAAAGTAAGATCTACCTACAAGAATAGTTGGATCAACATCTCTTGCTTGGCTGCAAATCAGTGGTGGGATTCAAAAATGTTTACTACCAGTTCTGTGGGTGTGGTTTGGTGGGCGTGGCAGGGGAAGGATACTGCAAAATCCCCATTCCCTCCCCACACCCCACTAACCTGCTTTCCAGCTCCATTCTCTTGTGCAGGGCAACAAAAGAAGGCCCAGCCAATCAGCTGGGACTCTGGAAGCAGAGAATAGATGGGGGCGGGTCAGGGGTGGGATTTGCTGGTTCTCCAAACGACTCAAAATTTCCACTACCGGTTCTCCAGAACTGGTCAGAACCTGCTGAAGACCACCTCTGCCATAACTGAAGAAATCATAGACATGTTTCCTTACCAGGTCTGAATTTCATCAAAATGTGTTCTTGTTTTGAAAATACACTTGGAATATTGTGGTGGCATAAAATTAAACATCCCTCATTAAAAAAAGAAAACCAACCAAATCCTTTCCTGCTTATTTTTATTTGTGTGTGTAAGTATTGCACTGTACTTTTTAGCAGTTTGTCTTTTTTCTCTTTTGTAGTAGTAAAAAATAAATATTAATATTTTGACAAAATCAGTTATTTCAATGCATAGCTGCCTTTCAAGTCAGCTGTTCTACTTTAACTACATGTTATGATAACTATTAGCTATGTCTGATTATCATCATGAGCAGGTATAATTTCTTAGGGAAACTCCCCCTTTACCCCCCTATTCCAGATGATGGCCCAACGTATTTAAGATACATTGAAAATAATTCACTAACTGAGGTTTAATGATATTTAGCTTAATGAGACCTTGTTATTATTTAGGCTCCATTATTCAAAGTTATGACGAGCTGCAGATGTCATTCTTACTTTAATCTCTGCAGGAAGCCATAAGAGAGCAAAACTATTCCTAGGGGTGTTTAACATTAATCAAAGATCTAAGCTAATTGTTGTGCTTGGTTAATTTTAATCATCAACCATCTACATTCTCCCCTTTTGAAAGAAGATTGTCAATGTAGGTTTCTCTAAGGATGTAGGCTCAGCTCGTGTAATGTGATTATGGCCCCTGCAAGGGAAATGACTGATGTCGTATATCTCATGATGTCATCATGCAAACGTCAGAAATCGCTGCATCATATTTATGACGGTTTAGTGCCCAGAGGTCACATGATCCCCTTTTACAACCCTCTAACAAGCAAAGTCACTGGGTGTCAGCCTTCAAGATCTTCTTTCTGGCTGTCATGAGTAACGGGGGGAGGAAGGGGGAAAAGTATGGGAAACGAGCTGGAGGCGTTACTAACTAATATTGTATAATCTGAGGAGGGTTTCTATTTCTTGCTTAGCTTTCTCTTCTCCGCGCGGCTGCAAACCTTTATCAGAGTAGGCCAAGGTCAACTAATCATCACCACCTGAGGATGTCCACATGATGAGGTTCACAACTTTTTATTGGAAGAACCATTTGAACTATTGGGGTGGGAACATTTCTATCCCTTGATATATGTGATGTATGTGCCTATTTCCTCAGATTCAGAATTCTTTTGTTGCTACCCCTTGACTTCCAGTAAAAGATATCTTTTCTCTAATTACAAGAGTCTAAGTATTTCTTTCTTGGATTTTGAATGGAGCACCAGCTGACACCGTGGAAGCCAGATTCACTTAACATCCGTGTTGCAGCGATTCAATTAAAAACCATCGCAAAAAAGTTGGTAAAATAGGGCAGTGTTCCTTTAGCAAATGTCTTACTTAACAACAGAAATGTTGGACTCAGGTGTGGTCATAAGTCAAGGACTACCTTGTTGTTATAGAAACGGCTAGTTTATATATTACAGGTAGTCCTCAACTTACAACAGTTCATTTAGTGACCATTCCAAGTTGCAACAGCATTGAAAAAAGTGACTTATGACCGTTGTAGCCTCTCTGGGGTCATGTGATCAAAATTCAGACTGGTTGACATGAT